ACAAACAAACAAACAAACAAACAAACAAACAAACAAACAAACAAACAAAACAAACAAGGAAGCAAGGACCCTTCCACTCGCACATGATATACCCTGTAGGCCATACACGCTTGCCCTGTCCCTCTGAGTTGGACCCACCGAGTGAAACACGGGCGTTTCCCCTGTTCCTCGTGCCGTGGCTTCGCCCAAGGCACCTCTGAGGCAGCTTCCTTTAGCAGCCGCTGTTGCCAGGAGAGCTCGTTGCTCCGTGCCGCGCAAATGAGGAGCTTATTTAAGGTTCGAGGACTGGCTCTGACCTGAGTCGGAACAAAAAAAGGTGAGTCGCCTGACATACCGGCCTCTTTACCTGCAGACTTCTACAGAAAAACATCTGCGACCTGGGCCGACCGGGATGTGAAAAACCAGGCTACCCCTTGGAGTTGCATCCGGCTGAAGAAAACCAACGCCCGGCGGAAGGCGCCCGCATTGGCACAAGCCTGGCTTCCGCGGAACGCGCCCGTATTGGGAGGAAGTAACGAAGGGTGCCCCCTGGTGACCGACCCTGGTATCGGAGTTCAATGCGAGATCTGTGGATTGACCCAAGAATACAAGAATACAAGATCTCAATCTCAACTGAACTTTCCGAATGTTGCAACTTGTGGTTGGTTCACAACCCACATCCCAAGACCTTGGGTACAAATTCTCAGGAAGTTGACTTTTGTACTGAAATCGCACACACCCTTGTACTGCAGTGGGCATCTGCAATGGTGTGCCACCTCTGGAGTAAGACACCTGCATGCTCATCTAAAGGGAGTCTTTGACATACATTATCTCACTCCCTTGACCCCATCAAGTCAGCCAATCAGCCAGTGATGCATCGCTGTTGATCACGCATGGGTGCAAAGCCTTAAACCCGTCCAGCCGGCCGCCTTGAGCATGGTGTTGTGGAGCATCCGTCGCTTCGGACCGCGCGAGCCGGGAAGCCGCTGCAGTTCTTGGAAACACTCCTCTGCTTGAGCGACGTCACCCACCTGCGACCGGAGGTGTCGACCGGTGGAGAGTCCGTCAAATGGGAAGAAAGCAAAGCACCATGCATGTGCAGACCAGCCTGATTTGTAGGTCACTGAATCCTTCACAGCATCTCATCCAAGCCTTTGGATGAAAATGATGAAAAGAAGTCTCCCATGCCCCAGTTCATCACAGTGGACGCCGGACGCTCTGCCTCTGCGTGCACGTTCAGCTCATCAAGGAGCTGCTGGAACCGGTCATTTCGTGGCCACTGGGCAGTGCTGCGGAGACCGCGCGTGCCGCACGCGGTCCGACCGCGCGCGTGCAATTGGAGCAGCAGCGGAACGCACATGGCGCATCAAGCATGGAGGTACAACACATGAATAATATATACTATAATTATGATACCTGTTCTGAAGTTTCGTGCTGAATGGACGTCTCTAAATGCAGGGAGGGTTCCAATTCTCTATCTGGAGAAGTTCAGCTGCCAAAAAGGGATATCCTTCGGTCATTCCACCGTGTAATTCACCAAAGTGGCTTGCGCGGTATTCTATGGTATTCTCACACTGCTGCTTTCTGCAGCCGGTTTGACACAAGCTAAGCTCATCGTGTGCTCGGGGATCGTGGTGCATCAGAATCATCCAAGATGGCATCGATGTGGTCCATAGTAGATGGAAACCTGCGCCCTTCGCAACAGTCAATGATACTTTTGGGGCTTTTTGGTGACAACCCCAATTCCACAAATCCTCATGTGGGGACCTCTACATTATGTTGTATGTATGTCTACCAAGTGACTTCTGCAAGAGACTGCTTTTGTTTCCCTCTAGAGTCTAGACTTGCTCTAAGCTTCTCCCATGAGAGAACCAACAACCCTCTTTTGGAGGTTGATACTGGTCGTTGCTTCAAGTGATCGCTTGAACACCTGCTTCACGTGTTTACATACCTATTATACACATTAGTATTGGCTCTTGAAGTGCCACTTAAGCGTTACATTTTAGTTTTAGTATCTCTGTTACGAGTAGCTAGACTAGTAGCTAGACTAGTAGCAATGCACCTGTGAGTATCTCTTCTGCTCCATCCTAAATATCCGGAACACTCCTGCTCCGCACGCTGCGGCTGCTCTTTCGGCGGACGGCTCCGGCCACGCGTCGCTGATCGATGCCGCCCAGCAGCTGCACCGTGTGTCCGCGGCACAGGGCGCGCGCGCAGGCGTTCACGGAGCCGGCGAAGGTGATCATGTCCTTCAATCGGTCAACGGTCTCAACGGTTGATCTAAAGAAGTCTTTTCATTTCATGGACTTTTGTCAAATACGAACGGATGTCATGTTGACGGTTCAATACATAATCCACCTGACCATCCTGGTTCTGAATCTCTATGGGGCCAAAGCAACATTTGAATAGATAGATGTGGCTCATGAGGCCGTCGCTATAGATGTTCTTTGTGTGGGGAAGAGTTAGAGCCAGGGAGAGTCAATGGGGAATCCCACCCAACTAGAGGAATATATAGTTCTCAGAGACTCACTGGGAATCTTAGGTGTGTGTTCCCTTTCTAGATGGTTGTCCTTGATGTATCACACTATTGGGTTTTTGTTTAAACACCTATTCTGGCAAATTGTAGTTGTTTTGCCTTTCAACGCCATCGACGCCGCCTGTTGATTGAGGAAATTGAACTCACCTGCACCTACCTAGATAGAAGTGGGAACACACAAACAACTTCCAGCTGCTATGTTGGTCCAAAGGGAATGGAACATGCCTAATATACTCCTCATGAATATCCATTGTGGGAATTTGTTGGATATCTTCAATACCTACTATTCTCAGGTCATTACCCCAATCAGGAGAATCAAGGCAATGTCCCCTTACAGTTGGGTCATTCACGAAAGATACTAACCTGTATCTGTGTATTTGGAGCCCCCCATGCAGGGTGAGCCACTCTCAACAAGTGCAACCACGCTTGAACTACAAACAAAAGCAGTCGCAATCTTGGTGTGTTCACATCGTTTCAAGTCGCTAAGTCCGATTCTCGCTCCAAGATGCCGGCTGGTGACGTCGCTTCCGAAGATCCTCCAGGAGAAGTAAGCTTTGCGTCCACGCACTCGAAATGCCAAGAGCGTCCACAACGCTGTTGAAGGTCAGCAGATTGGGGAGAATCTCGCGGCGAAACGGATGGGAGTCGTTTTCATCCAAGTCCTGCTACGTAGTTCCTGCGGGTTCCTGAAGGAAGAACCAAGAAGAAAAGCACTGACACCATGTGAGAGACGGAAAAATACCACATAATACTGTATTGTCCTCACTAGTGAAACCAAGTGTTGAAATGTCTTACAACACAAGGAGAAAAGCATGTAAAAAAGCTCCGTGGAAATCTCCTGTGAATGGGCTCTGAAATTCGTCCAACATGTGAATCAACCCAGGACCTTAGATAAGGATTAACAGCTTAAACTTTGGGCAATCAAATTGCAACTGCCCAGCCGATGGAAAACTGTGTTAGTCCCCTCACTGCACAGTAAAACGAAAAAGCTATAATGCCTACACAGCAAAAGATCCGAGATGATCCGAGAAATACTTTCTTCATCAGAAACTCACCTTTGAAGCCATGGAGTTTCTCTTATCACTCATCCTTGAGTTTCTCCTCCGCAAAATCCGCTGCAACGGATTTCACACAAAAGCACCATGAACCCGCCCGGGCCGTGACCATCTCCGTCCGAGCCTCGCGAACCTTCATGTCCCTCAGCAGCTCTACCGACCTCCTCCAGTGGTGAGACACCGTTGCCTGCGCCTCATCGTCCAGTGATGAGAGGATGACGCCGAGGGCTGTGGAGCAGGCTACAGCTACACGGATGACCATGGAGGCATTCAAGGGATCAATAAGAACAAACGTGTCGTGTATGTCGCGTAGGACATGGAGTGGTCCCCGGCATCCTGTATTGCTGCACACATACACACAAGGGTGAGAGTGGGATGCGTGTTCCATCACATGTCCAATCCACAGGAGGTGAAGGACTTCCTCTATCGTGAAAAAAGGCGGACTTGCCTTCTTCAGCAAAACATGCCTTTTTCGACATTGCAATGTTCGAAAGCAAAGATCCTACCCCGTCTAGGAGGCCCCGTCTTTTTCAGACGACCGACTTCAGTTGCACCACCCTGAGATGGAAGATCCTACTTTGTCCTAGTTTGATTATACTGAGGTCCTCATCCATTGCTGATGTCCTCATTTCCAGTATGTGTACATTCTGGTCACTACAGCAACCTCAGTTTAGCTCGACGTTGACCCTTGAAACATCCTGAAAAACATGTAGTCTATAGGAGTCTAGGAACGGATCCAAACCGGGGTTCAATCGGATCCATCAGTCGTCCGTCCGACCTTGATCACGGCGCTGAAGCTCACCACGTCGGGCTGAGTGGTTCTTCTCAACATCTCCAAGGCCTGCACAGCTGCCTGCGGGCCAAACTCGCACGTGAACGATAGGATCGGGTGACACGAAAGGATCGGGTGTTTGAGAAAGAATTGGTGAATGAAGATCGGTTGGTTTATGTCTGGAGTCTGGGTGTTGAGCTTTATGTCTGCACCATGAAGGTGAATGGCCTTTTATGATGACCAACAGTCACTGCAGTTGGCGTTATGGGCAACTTCATGCGTCTCGCCGTTGAAGCATCTTCTCCGTCTTCTCCGTGCGACCCATAAGGCTTGGATAAGTCAGTGCAGCGCCAGGTGGGTACATCATGCCCTCAAAGAGTCGTCCTGTGAGGGTACCTTCTGACTGACATGGAAGTGGAGTTCACCACCAGTTTTGTAGAGGATTTCATGGTCTTCCCAGTGACCATGACGTCCATGGTCCATGTTTTTTCTGTTTTTTCTGGTGAGTGGGTGTGTAGATGGTGCGAAGGCACCACACCTGAGAGGTGTTCACCCACTACCACATGTGCTGCAACAGTCAGCCTCAGCTTGACCAGCTTTTTCACATGCACTGATGGCAGCGTTGAAGCTTATGACGTTCCTCAGAGGAACGGAAACAAAAAGATCAAAGCAAACATTGGTGGATGTGGACATCTCAACAAAGCCCAACATCCAAGTTGCATCATTTTGTTGAACCAAATCGGGCTGACGTAACATTAGTAATTAAAAGGTTCTCTTCCCAATGGCTTAGGTTTGGACTCACCCCTGCCACAACAGTTTTTGGACTTCTTTCACAATAAAATAAAATACACACAAAGCAACTTAACATAACTTAACAATTCACGTAACAAAAATTGACCGTGCCTTCATTCAGGAACCACCCAGCTGTAGGAAGAAAATGTAGTAAGATAGATCGATAGACGGTGCCACTATCCGAGGTTAAAGCTAAAGAACGCGCCGCGAGTGACGGTGTCTTGGTTGTTCTAAATGTGCAGCACTTCTTCCATCAATAGCAGAAACCCTGCCCTACCAGCCAGGCACAAGGTTTCGCACAAACACACTTCATACAGCGATTAAAAGTGCTCTTCATGACGGATTATCGGAGATGTGATTTCGTCAGTTCATTGGATCTCAAGCTTGTATCAAAGTGTCACAATCTCTTTGCTGGGCTCTTCATCATATTCTCAACACATCGAATGTTCAAATCTCCATGTCAAAGGGAGCTATCATATTGCCGGAACCCTCCAGAATCCGAAAAAGCATCCCAACTTATTTGTTTGTCTCAAAGCACGGGGTCCCTCCCTCACATCTAGTCTATTTGCTATCCGGCAAAAGCCAAAGAACACTGGAGTGCTTTACGGAATATAGCCTCCCCGCATTATCTCCATTCGACTTCGAGTTTCGTTGAAACATGTCAAAAGGGACATCGTTTTTTTTTTGCATAGCTGAGCAGGCCCCCTCGGAAAAACGGCCGACAAAAACGCCACCATGGTTCGGCCGAATTTGTAAGACCTCCATGCGCCACAGCACCTGCAGTGCCCTCTGCCACTGCCGCCCCTTCTCGCATGCGCTGATGACACTGCTGTAGATCACCACATCCGGCGAATCTCGCCGATCTCGTCCATCTCGTCCATCCGACTCCAGAAGCGTCAGCAAGAAGAGGGCTAAGGCCCATTGACCACCTGCAGGATCTGCGGGATGTACGTGGGAGGCCATTGGAGGCAGGGAAACAATGCAGTGGAACAAATGCTTCTTTTAGAGCTCAGGATCATCTCTTCGGAATGCTGAGCTGGTATGCTTTTCCAGTGGACCCCTTGGAATGTACCAATCACTAGTCACACGTGATCCACCGCATTTGATGCATCTCATCAAGACCATTGAACCTCAACCATGGCATTTGTGAAACAATCCAGACTGTGATTGATGAAACCAGAATATGGACATGCAATTTCACACCTTGTACAACAAAAAACAAGTCACTTCAGAATAACATGTTGATTGACATTTTGACATTTAGTCTTGATTGTGAAAGGTGTGATTTGTCTGAAACCTTTCTCGCGCTGCCAATCTTGAAGAACAAATCGCACCTTTCTCTGCTGCACTGATGACAGCACTGTAGCTCACCAGATCCGGGATGAGCTTGCCCTTTTGCAAAGACAGCAAGAGCTCGATGGCCACATCCCATCGGTCGCTCTTCTCCTGGGTGGAGCTGAACTAAATGGACACCACGACAAGAAAAGCACTCCAGGAAACAAGAATACAGTAACAATCATTACCAGCACCACTCAGTTTAGAAGAAAGTATAAGTATCCCTATAGAATAGATTTCTATCTGTCATTCTGAATGGGCACATACTCGGGCCTCCCTCCACCGACCTCGACCACCCCGCCGGAGCCATATACACTCTCTTCTACCTCAGGAGGTAGAAAAATGAGACCTGGCCTGAAAAAGGATGCTGGCAAGGAGACGAATCACCTAGCTTGATCTTGTGTATCCAATCCACGTTCATGTATAATTACCTAGCTGGACCTAAAATATATTAAACTATCAATGATTCTGCTTGGATTGCATCCTATTCCATCCATCCAACAGGTGTCAGAATGGAATCCACCAGGAGGGCTTCATCTGTGATGGAGTCCAGGGGTTCCTCTCCTAGCAGCTTCTTGTTCCTAGTAGCGATGCCAGGAGCCCCGTTCGTAGCATCCTTGTTCCTAGTAGCGATGCCAGGAGCCCCGTTCGTAGCGAACCTTGTTACTAGCATGCTTTGTCCTTCAAGCCATCTTTCTGTCACCGCAGGGCCGAACCCTGAGGTCCGTCAGTTCCCGTGCCACGTCTCATGGTACCCTTCCGAGTCTCACACGCACTGATCGCGCTGTTGTAGCTCACCACATCCGCCCAGCGTTGTAATTGAAGATCACCCAAAAGGCTCACCTGGCGGACCGGTACTCGCGTCAATTGGACCGGTCAACCATTGTAAGGCACATAAAGCCCCGTATATCTGGGTGTGTTTCACATCTCCCATGTAAAACCAGTGTGACATCCCCTTGTCTGCAACTGAGTCGTACACCGGTTGATCTTTACCGTCAAAACTCGTGGCATCTGCCAAATATACACGTAGACCGTCTTCGCACCTGTTACTGCTAGTTGTGTGCCTGAATTCAACAACACCCAAATAGTATATTTTAGAAGTGGCCGGTTCAAACTTATTTTGGTGGTTCAAACATGTTCAAACCATCCCCAAAAATGACCATTCACAAATAGGCCAAGCATTGAATAAATAAGAATAAGAACATCCAAACATTCCAACACCAAGTTCAGTTCAGTTGCAGCCTGCAGCCATCGTCCCGCTTTTTCACAGGCACTGATGGAACTGTTGTAGCTGACATGGTTTGGGCGCACAGAAACCTGGCCAACTGAGTCATCTCCGGCTGTTGAAAGAAATCGAGCCCCCAGCCCTGAACCAAGCATGAATTATGGAAGCACAAAGAAATACTTGCCAATGACAACCAACCGACCAGCACAAAAACAAACATCAATCAACAAACTAGTATAAATAAGTATCTTGCTTTGATTTGGTCATTTCGTCAGATTTCGTCCACGCATCTCGTGTTCCGGGTGTCAGCTGGTCGTTTGCCACCAATGGACCAACCAACCGCACCTCGTGGGAGAGGTGAAGCAAACAGACCGCCGAGGACCAACGATGATCCCTTTCGCAAGCGGCAATAGCGCTACTGAGGGCGATCCTCAGGTGTGCGAGGGGGGGTCGAAAACGGGTGGTCAGCAACGTGTAGATGCACAGTGAAGACTTGGAGTTTGCACAAATGGATGAACAATGAACAAGCAATAGACAGTGACTCTACAACAAAAAGATACAAAAAGAATCCAAATCCGATATAGTGCGTGAACTCACCTTGAGCTCACCTTAAACTATATAGCGCTTCAACGAACAGTCTTTGTGTCCGCTCCCAGACGTTCCCAAACGCGGCCCACACGGTCACCACGTGACGGGCCGCGTCACCACGTGACTCGCGGAGTTCACCGGTGGTTTCAGCGAGTTCACCAGGGACCACGGCCATCCTTCGATGCGTCCACTTCCTTTGGACCCCGTTCCGGAGCGAGCGAGAGAGCGGAGGGCGGCGCGAGCGAGCGCTCCGCTCACGCGCACGGTCGAGAGACCAGACCGAGGCTCAAATCCCGTTCGAGGCGCAGCAAACGGAGCGTCCGGAGGATTCCAAGGCCATGCTGCCAGGTGGAAGAAGTCAAAACACCACCTGAGATGTGCAGGACCACCTGAGGACCTGCATTAAAAGACATGTTTAAAATCATGTGCAGCGTGCAGTTGAATCGCAACTGAAAGCATTGGATGTGTGTGAGTGCGTGAAATCGACCCTAGATGCTTACCCCAAAGAAGACCTGGCAGGTGAACCTTCACCTTTTTTGTCTGCCACTTTTGACAAACAGTGTCCTTTTCCTGCTGTCCCATGCGTTTTTGACCACGTTTCCTGCTGAGTTCATCCCGAGAAGCTCCATGTCACCACATCCGGCAGTGTGCGGTGCTGCCCCATGTGAGAGGCCAGGTGTAGAGCCTTGGCCCAAGTGGAAGTGGCTGACGTAGCAGAGATGGCCACAATGGCACTGTTGAAACCTCGGATCGATCGGCGACCGACTCCCAACTCGGTGAAGATGTTTCGTGTTCGGCTTGGCAAAGGGCAGGATGCCCGATGTTCGCAGGTCAGGTTGCTTCCCTCCATCAACGCGTGGGCTGCCCTTCTCGTGTGACCCATGTCCCACTTTCTTGCTCTGAAAAGTACGATACAAAAAAGGGCGCGGTGCTTCTTGAGTCAGGAACCGTCAAAACATATACTCGTTATGTACTCGTTATGCTCCATAGAACAAATTAGAAAAAGGGAACCAGCCAATGGGTAGTTGTTTGTTCCGCTGAACCCTCTTTTTTCCGTCGTGTGGCTGATTTCATCAGGAAGCAGCTGGTCACCGTGGAAAAGCTTCTGCAAAGCATGGGACCAGTGACTTCGGCAGGCGCTTATGGCTGTATTCCAAAGGATCAGGTTCCTGGGTGTCCACGGATGGGCACTTGCATTGTGATTGTTCACCAACAAAAACACATTAAATTAAAATTACTTAAAGTTATACATACGTAAAAAGACATAGCTTAGTGGAGGTCTTCATTTTGCAAACCGCTCTGCACGTGTCAATGACATCCAGCAGCCAACACCAAAACTACCATTGGGCACTCCTAGCTTCAGCTTCAAGTCTCTTGTTGCCAAATCCGTCAGAAGGCTAAGCACGAATCCCCAATGGCTCTGCCGCGCCAGCTCTTTTGCCTTCTTACCGTAGAGCTTGATGTCGTCTTGATCTTGCGCACGAGACAAAGCGCAAGATCGCTCCATTCCAAACCAGCATCACTCTCAGCATCTCTGCCGGCACATCTCTCTGAACCTCAATCCAATGTGGGGATTGATCTTGACTCCGACGCGCAACGCACACATAAAAACAAACACCCTTTGAACTATATATATTAGAATATCATTTGTATAATCTGATAGGATATCTAGAACTTCACTTTGCTTGCCATATATTCGATATGAGATATATCCCTCTCAAGACCCTGGGGCTCAAATCCCAAGTTGCAAAAAGCTTGAGCCGTTGATGTCCTCAGGTCATGCTTGTGTCCTCATTTCGCCCAGGAACACAAGACACGCCTCTCACACGCCCACTTTGGCGCCATGGTCCACACGTTCGAAGCGACTTCGGCACGAACGATTCCTTGAGACCAAACCCGATCCGGCAAGGCATTCTAGGAATGCAACGATGACTAGTGCGGTCCAACTGGGGCGACAAAGAATTCCGCCTCAGAAATCAAACTAACAAGCAAACAACTAACAACCTTAAGCATTCAAAGCCCGTCTGTGAGATAGGGGAGTTCTACCTCAGAAATCGTTCAACCAAACACGCTGAGATGAGACCGAGTCAGAAGGTGCATTGTCTCCCCAAAAAGACGAGACTAGTGTTCAGTAGGTCAGTCTGTTCCTTCCGGTTGGGGTTGAACCCCTCGGTGGGTGCAAAGTGCGTTATCTCTGAGCTTCAGACTGTCCCATTCAACGCAGGTGGCTGCCAGCCTGGGTGAGTGTATTGGCCATAGGCAGTGTCCTAACACAGCACACACGCGACTGAAACATCCAACGATTGGGGCCCGCCCAACTCATCGGTGAGGAGAGGATAACATCACTTCCACCCAACTTGGAGAACCACCTCTGCTGTTGCGATTTCTCCCTTTCCTTCAGTGTCCGGAGACCCAGGGTTGGCACCTGGTTCACGAGAAGCACTCAGGCGCCTGCAGCGGCATGGTCAGGATGCTTCGGTGAAAATGTTTCGATTCACTCTCCTAGGAAAACGAACATGGGAGTGGGTGGTTGTTTGTAAAGGAAAATGGTCCAAAAGGCCTTGCCATCCACTTCCATGATTAGTTCAGGGAGTGTAGCAGCCAAACATCTCAAGGGCCATTATATAGCCATCATTATATACTATATAACTATATACCGATACATATATATATATATACACGTATATTTGTGTGGCAGGGCCTCCCTAATGAGTCCCCAATCGCTGGGCAAATCGATGCCTTTAAAAACCTGATCTAAGAAGACTCTTGGAGCGTGACTGCAAACTCAGCAGCGGGTTTTGAGGATGTGTTCTTCGGGGGGGCTCCTTTCATATTCCATTTACAAACCAACAAACAATTGCTCTTCCCCCCCACATGGTCTTTGAAGATGAAGATCCAGGGTGCCCAGTTTATCCACCCCGAACCAGCCTTAAAACGGAAAGACATGGACATGAAGACTCATCAGTTCTCTCTTCCAACATTCCACCAGCTCATGTCATCGACATGAAATTTCTGAAATGCATCCGTCCCAATCAACATTCAGTTCCTCCACTTCACCACTTGGAGGCTCGGCTCAGCCAGCCAGGCGGGTCCTTTTTGGGCAGCGCACCCGGCAGTTTCATCGGTCTCTGACAGCTCACATGGACTGACTGATGGTCATGTTTCGCACCAAGGGCTTCCTGAGCGATTCTCGCAGGGGAAGCTGTATCTGTAAGTCTGTAAATGTCAGTTTTGGTTTCCCACCACCGGAGAAAATCATTTCACTAATGGTAGATATATACAATTATATGTATGTGTATATATATATATATGAATCTACACATGTGCTAGCGAATCCTCAACATTGGACCCATTTGTGGAAGCAGTTTTGACTGGCAGGTGTACGCCAGGCACCGGCACCTTTCTTGACATGGAAACGCCTCTGACGGCATTTCTTCCGGTGAGTCCTGACGCACCGTGAACCGTCCGTGTGCTCCAGAGACAGAAATGAACGAGTCCTTGTGCTCCAGAGGAGACTCCAAGAGACTACAGTGTCGAAGTCAAGGGATAAACTGAGACGGAAAGATGCTGAACATGCCGACGGAAGAAACCGTGAACATTGCATACTGTAGTCAATTATATAGTCTGTGGAGTTTTCCTGTGGGAAAACCGGGTTGTGAAGGGATCCACTCAGATCCATGATAGCATTTGTGCTCTGGGGGGGGCCCTGGGGGGGGGTGACGGAAATCAAAATCAATAAACATCACGAAACCTCAACTCTCTTCGCACAGCGATGCTGATGGTTGCTAACTGTCTGGCCGTTGGCCTTCAGCAAGCTGACTTTGGCGAAAACAACAGCTTGGATCTCTTTGTGGGAAGAAGCCGTATAATTATGTAGTTATAGGCTTGGCTCTTGTTTTGGGGGTCTAGAACTGTCACCTCCAGCCACCAACTGTCCTTGCTTGAGCATCTTAGAGGTTCTGAACCGGCTCCCGAAAGATGTAAACTCACTAAACCGTTCTACCCAGTGATGCACACATGTAGACTCTTGATTCATCAAACCACCCAAACATGGCTCGTAAAGCCTCTTCATCATGGAGGCTTGAAATATGTTAAAATATCATCAAGAGTCTACCATCCCCAACACATGGCCACAGCCCCAAAACACCGCCAGGCATCTTCGTAAGGCGATGTAAGGACTCCAGTCCCGCCAAGGTCCTAGAAGCAACAGCAACCGAGTCCAAGGCATCAAGAGACCAGTGCTTTTGTTGACCCTCCAACAAATCAGCCATGCTTTGCCCATTCATTTCCACCAGGCTCCTCGCAAACCAATTCCTGGCACGTCTAGGGATTCCAAGGGTTCCCCATCTTTCCGCACTCCGGCCGTGCGGAGCTAAGGTGCGGGTCCATCGCTCCTTCCGTTCTCTGAGATGAGCGATTCGGAGGGGAGGATGATCTCGTTGCCTCCCGCAGCGATTCGGAGGGAGCGTCTGCCCAGGCGGTCGCGACAAGGACGGCCGAAGGGTCTGTGGGGAACTTGTGGGACATTCCGAAATGCACCGAGGAGTAGAGATCTCAATAGCGAAAAGTAGAGTTTTCAAGTGCAAAAGAAGCAAAAACAAGTGACAAGAAGTCTATAGCCGAAAGCAAAAGAAAAGGATAAGAACTTAGAGAGAAGTACAGAACATTGAAACCGCCCCTATAGATGTCGCCGGATGCATGGACATATCCCCACCCTCTCCACGCCACAAACCACACCACGTAGATTGAGTAGATCACCACACATCACATCATCACACGCCACTTCTTCCCAAGGCTCAAAGCGGGGAACCCGTCCAAAAGGCTCTGCCACCAGGCTTTGTTCACCCAATACACGTCATCTCATCCTGCTCCTGGCATGGGGATCCTTCCAAGTGTCCAATGGGTTTGCTGGAAATCTGATCTAGCCCATCCGACCCCAGTAATTAACAAGGTTCGCTACGTTCGGAGCAAGGGCATCGCTACGAACGGAGCAAGAAGCTATTCGTATAACTCCTGGCCATACTACTATATCCACTAGGAAGCTACTAGGAAGCTACGACCGGAGCATACTACTAAGAAGCTACGACCGGAGCCACTTCCTTTCGCACCCTCCGACACCTCTCTGCCCCTCTCTGCCCCGTCACGTCGTGCGGGGGGACGAAGCCGCAGGGCGCCGCAGGGCGCCGCCTTCGCAGCGGCCACATTCTTGGTGGTCCCGTTTGGTGAAGCCCATGCTCACCTCCTGCCGTTTGGAAGCCCTTGGGGTCAGCATCGAAAGTTCGCGAAAAGAGGGCATGGGTTTGGGAAGGGCGCTGGAGGTTGGTTTGCACAGGACGCTTTTTTTGGGGGGTGCTTTTTGAAAGACTGCATGCAATAGAAACACAGCGCAGGGTCAGGATGTTCGACTGTTGATTTCACTATTATTAACTATATACAATGTTAAAGTCGTCCAGCAACTTGCCAGCAACCTTGTCTATTTCTTGGCTGATTGCCGCATGAGCGTCCCCCAAGCCTGCGAGAACTGTATTCACATGTTGGGGCAACCCCTGTGCTGAACCTATAGAAACAAGAAATGCTCAACATTCCTATCGGCTATTAAGTATAACTTTATCAAGCTGAGCAACGCCTGCAAATAGATTGAACGACCTATATACTCATTCGTACCTTGCATCCTGACGAAGAGTAGACGTCAACAACTCAACCAGGCATATACCGCACGTGGACGCCAACAACTCGACTGTAAAGTACACGTTTTCTAAAACACATCTCCACATCAAAAGGACCAGTTTTGCGAGGTCCTGCTCTAAATGAGGCATTTGACTTGGAGGGGCACGGGGCCGACCAAAAAAAACATCGGTCACGGATGCTCACGGTCACACCAGTATGCTCGCTCACCGTCCACCCTGCCTCCTCAGGCCCGGTGCCCCGGTTGTAGTGAGCGATGTACTCGTAAAAGAGCGGCGTCCCCAAGATCCAAACCTGAGCGAAAGCCCGAGGCCGCGTCGGGCCGAGCGTTGGGTTGGGCGGATGGTGGAGGACCGCGAGGACCTAGGGACCGACGGATTAAAAGGGCAACCCAAGTGGCACAAGAAATTCGACCAAAAATCAAGCCTATTCAGGTAGGGATGGCATCTCCATTCCTTCGTCCAAGTCTGAGAACATGTGAGAACTCACGCCAACCCTGCGCCCGCGACGGAAAAACCATGGAACACAAAGCAAAGGGGGTCATAATGGCATTGAGTGTGAAACCAGGTTAAGTTCAGGTTCAAGAGGCTGCAGATGGCTGCAGCCACCGCACGAAAGCGTCCGATTGTGATCCGAGGTGCCCAAGCGGCATTTCTGCTTGGTTCCCAGATTGGGCGTTTGAGTCATCTGGGTGTGGGTCAAATCCCTGAACACTCTGGTTCACCCCAGGGGTTAAAAAAAACCTCTATAAGGGATGTCAACCGAAACCATGGTTTGTAGGGTTTTGCGCTCGCGGACATTGTCAAGTCCTCTCCGGCCCCC